GGGAGGGCGTGGAGAAAACACACCCCCATCTCCTCGATGTCGTCTCTGGTGATGGATACCACGTGGCAGTTGATCGAAGGATGAGGAAGAGGCACCGTGCATGGAACTAATACTCCGTTCCGGTCACGAACGTGAACGGTGAGGTTGAAGAAGTTCACCGGGTGATCCTTGCTTCGCAGCCATGACATGCCCGAGATCATGTCGAATTTGGTGTCCAGAATGTCAAAGGACACCGCCTCACTTGCGTGAGGGACAAAATACACTGGGACGCTGCACCGGTCGATTGACTTGTGCGTGTGACCGTCCGCCAATGTGACTTGCTTCGGCTGGGGCTTCCTCCGGACACGTGGGCTTAGGCGGACGCGTACCATGAAGTCCTGGCTGATGTAGTTGTGAGATGCTCCGCAATCGATCAAGGCACTGCAGGTCGCCCTTCCGATCTGAATGCTTACGTATAGCAATGGTGCGTCGATGTCGTCGTACTGTTGCGTCTTGAACTCGTAGTCGATCTTCGCGATGTAAACGTGAAGGTCGACAACCTCTGCTCCGGCGTCCATCAACGGAGCTGGTACTGCAGTGTGCAAGTAGTCCCGCAGTTGTGCCATGAGCACATTGCAATGCGGTTTCGGCAATCGTTCGGTCGAGGGAACGGGCATCCACTGGAAGTCCGTGAACGTCAACGGGTCGAGCTCTTCAAGTCTTGACCATGACGTCGAATCCCCGACGATAGATTGCGGCGAAGCTGCCGAATCGGTTGCCGATGGTGATGAAACCATGCATGGGGTGGGTTGTTGCACGTGGAGCGGTTGGTCCAGCGGTGGAACCAAGTGGACAGCATAATCCTCGTAAGTATACCGAGGACTTGCGACATTCGCATCCTCCCCAGATGTGCAGGAGACCGCTAGCAAGGCGGCCGAATCTGGCGGAGTAGAAGGTGGAGTCGCCTCACCTTCCGCGGAGCTCAGTTTCCCGAGCTGAGGCGGGATCGCACATCCTTCTTGGCCTTATCTTGGCACAGGGAGGTCTTGTGCTTGGTGCTGTTGCACCAATAGCAGCTGCCGTAGCGGCCGCGGACCTTTTACTCCGCCTCGGTCAAGCCAAACTTGACCCATGGATGCAGATTTCGCCTTCCCATTGTTGCGGGACTTGTTGTTGCTTCGCGGCTGGACAACAGCCACCTGATCTCCGTCACTTGATGCTGGAGTGGCTGCTGGGTTATCTCCACTGTCCTGCTGGACTGCAGCGAAGTGCTGCTGTCGCGGACCAGTTYGTRYCTTCTCCAYATAGGTCSGCTGCCATGKTGAYYTCTCGTGTGCAGCTGACCTGTTGGTCTTGATGATCTCTCTCGCCTTGTCGATAATCTCGGCGAAAGTGGAGTACTGCTCACGATCACCAAGAGCCTGGCTCAATGCAGCGCAGGATCTGTTGTAGAACTCACGTCTTAGATGAGTGAAAGGCAGGTCCAGATTAGGCACTGCCGCAATCTTCTGCCACTCCGTGAGCCAGTCCCGTGTTGCAGTGTTGCCCTGTGACATGGTGAACAAACGGTTGATGGCGAGTGTCGGCGCGTCGTCGACGATGAACCGCTTCTTCCACAGCCGTGTCAGTTCCTCCCATGTGATTTGGTCCTTCAAGTCTGGTACGTCGACGCCGTGGGAGGTTGYCAGGTGGCTCAACCAGGTCTGGCATCCGCCCTTTGAGTTCAGGAACAGGGCGCCGATGTACGCATGCTTGGCTACGAGCAGAATCCTGAGTTGCGTTGTGAAGGCTTCCCACCAGAGGACSGGATCCTGCTGCGTGTAGTCGTCGAACCTCTCCAGATTGAAAGTTGACATCTTATACATTTTCGGATTGCCATCCGCGTTCGTCGTCTGCAGCTGTTGGACCTCGGTCTTCAATGTATGCAGCTGACTACTGATGGTGGTGGTCGGCGCAGCGAAGGTGCTGATGTCGCCGAGCATTGCCACTACGTGGTCAACGCGGTCCTCCAGTTGGCGGCTAGAGGGTGCACTGCTGGAAGCCCCAGCAGCTGGTCCTCGTACAGCCTGTTCCAGGTCAAGCAATCGGACATTGAGTGCCCGAGTTGCATCCTCGTGGCTCTGCACTATGCGGCGGAACTGTGCCAACTCCTGACGCTGTTGCGTCAGGTCCTGGTACTGTCTCTCCAACTCTGACCGTTGGTAGTTGCAAGCATACAACAACCGCGTCACGAGTTTGGATAGGAACTCCTTGTGCTTCTCTTCCGGTGTTGCCTCGTCGCCGTTCGGTTCAAAATGCCAGTACTTGAGTCTGTCGATGCTGTTGGCTTCATGCCGCTGCAGCAGATCCTGGGCTTCCTTGCGGCGAGCCTGGGCATCTGCGTCTACATCGGCCTGTAGTTGCAGTTGTTCTGCTGCTGCTGCCTCTTGAGCCTGTACGCGGGCAGCCTCGGCTGCCAGCTGGCATTGTTCCTCAGCCTCGATCTGAGCCTGGAACCGCTGCTTGTAGGCTGCGAGGGACTTGTTGGGCAGTTGCCCTGGCAGGCCCGTCATGTTGCTGACGTGGCACTGCTGACGTGGCACTTTGTCTGACGTGGCACTGTGTCTGACGTGGCATTACTGATGTGACACTGCTTACGTGGCACTGTGTCTGATGTGGCACTGTGTCTGACGTGGCACTGCTGATGTGGCACTGCTTACGTGGCACTATGTCTGACGTGGCACTGTTTATGTGGCACTGTGTCTGACGTCACTGCTGATGTGACACTGAGTCTGACGTGGCACTGTGACCTGGCACTGCTGACGTGGCACTGCTGACCTGGCACTGTGACGTGGCACTGTGACCTGGCACTGTGACGTGGCACTGCTGATCTGGCATTGTGACGTGGCACTGTAGCGAACCGGAATGCATGCAAGGGGTGGGTGGGAGGGAAAACGTAGGTAGGTAACCAACCCAACAATACATTCCTCCGGCCCTAATCAACAGATAAAATAAAAAATAAAAAATAAAAGAGGACTACTTCCTTTTTTTTTTTTGTATATATCTGTCGATTTATGATGAGTTGGATATGTCAGAAGAGTATTATGAACGAGATCTAGGCTAGGTGCCGCAAAGTTTTGGCTTTTACAAACTGCGATCTTGAAAAAAAAAAATTTGCGAAATGGAGTAAAGATGCGATTTTTAGAAAAGAACGAAATCCAGTTTCTGAGAATATAGCAACCTCCGAATATGCCTAACGCAATATTGGTAGGCTTCGCAAGATTCGGTTTTCAAAAAACATTTTGCGAGATAGAATGGAAATGCGATTTTCA